ATGCTTATACACTTAACAAACTTCATGTTTTCATTGCTGGTTTTCCTTGACTTTTGGTTGTCATTGGATTTTCCGCTTGGCCTATACACTAGTTTAGCTGGCTCGTTTCTTCATGGGAGTCTGTGGTTCCTGCAGCCTGCCTCAGGTCTGAACTCTTTTGCAATCTTGCAGCACTCTGTGATTCTTTCTGTCATACTCATTTTCCTGAACTGTAATGAAACATTTTTTGCATTTTTCTTAGTGTCTGTTTCTTCCAGCAAGTCATGAGACCCATAGGGCAAATATCAGCTGACTTGGTCAGCACTGTCTCCTAAGCATGTAATGCAGTGCCTAGCATGAGTCAGATACTCAATAAATCCTTACTGAATGAACCAACCTCTCCTGCAAGGGATTTTGCCAGGATCCTATTACTATCTTCTGGATATCACTGCACAGGAGACTAAATTTCAGAAAAGGGTTTCTGGGCCTGTGATGCAGCTCAGTAGTAGAGCGCTTGGTTAACACTTGCAAAACCCTGGGTTCAGCCACCAGCAACACACACACACACACACACACACACACACACACACACACACACACACCACTTCTATTTCTAGAATAAAATTTGCAGTTGCTCTCTGTGCCCCATCACAGATTCAACAATGTGCTACAAAATCCTTTCATCTATTCTGTCAATGACTCCATCTTTAAGATTGAAATGTTAAGTTTCTAGCTCCTATGCAATGAATTTACATAAAATGCTGAGTGCTTAGATATGACCCAGTGTTGTGGAATAATCTTTCTGTACATTGAGAAGATATGTTTCTGCCAGGGCACCTTCTGATTGGTTTAATAAAGAGCCGAACGGTCAATAGCTAGACAGGGAAGGATGGGTGGGACTTTCAGGCAGAGATAGGAACTCTGGGAAGAAGAGAAGCAGGATTTGCCTGCCAGCCATGGAGGAAATGGGACTCACAGTGCTGAGCAGAGGTAATGAGCCACATGGCAGAACATAGATTAATATAAACCATTTAATTTAGAGTATAAGAGATAGTTGGGAACAAGCCTAAGCTAAGACCAAGTTTTCAAAATTAATAAGAAGTCTCCGTGTCATTATTTGGGAGCTGGCAGTACAGAGGAAGTCTTACTACAACCCAGATCTTACCAGACACACCACCCCAGCAGGACTAAGGGAAAAAGAAAACCTGAGTACAGTGGCAAGTATGATAAGTTCCTCTTACACTTCACATCGGTACCCATGGCTCTAACCATGGTCCTACTCATTCCCAGATAAGGTAATCTGGTGCCACAGATTCTCACCTGGCACCAAGATGGGCATGTGATAGTGTATACTCACATGGGGCCTCTGTGCTACCCACCCTCAGACTCACACTTGTAATCTGAGTACTTCTGCTTGCTGAGAACAGAGAGGTGGCCAACTGTGAAATCTGCATAGGCCCTGGATCTTAGACGTGTGGAGCAGAATGCATGTGCTGTGTGTGTTTTGCTAGAGCTCAAACTCAACCTTGCACATACTAGGCCTCAACCCCTCATCCTAAATAATTTAACCTCTTGGTACTGTAATTTTGACAGATATTTTTTGCTCTGTGTGTGTGTGTGTGTGTGTGTGTGTGTGTGTGTGTGTGGTGTGTGAATAGGTATGCTTGTTTTGCATGTGTGTGAGTACATATTTGTTTGTGTACGTGGAGGTCTGAGGATGATGCTGGGAATCAGCCTTACTCCCTCTTCCACCTTACTCATGTGTTTCAGTTAAACCCAGTGTTTGCTCCCATAGCTAGTGAGCTTGTTCTGGGCATTCTGTCTTGTCTTTCTGAGTCTGAAATTTCAGACAGACAAACACACCCATCCACCATTTATGTGGTTTCTGTGCATCTGGAATCTGGTCTTCATGTTTGCCCAGCAAACTCTGTTGAGCAACATCCTGCCCTTGATGTAAGTCCTAGAAAAGATTCTCATTTATCATTGTCTAAATGTGGTAAGGCTTTCCTAAAGATTTATTTTAAAAAATATATCCTATGTATATATGTATGTGCCTGAGAGTATATATATGCACCATGCATGTGTAGGAGCCTGCAGAGACTGGGGAGGGTGTTGAAATTCCTGGAGTTGGAGTTACAGGCAGTTGAGAGATGCCATGTGGGTGTTGGGAATCCAACCCAGGCCCTCTGCAAGAGCATCAAGTGATCTTCACTACCGAGCCATCTCTAGCTCTATAAAGACTTAAATTATGTTTCTGGGAGGCAGTGATGTACGTCTTTAAACCCAGCACTGGGGAGGCAGAGGCAAGTGGATCTCTGAATTCAAGACTAGCCTGATTTACAGAGCAATTTCCAGGACAGCCAGGTCAAGGCCACACAGAGAAACTCTGTCTTGAAAAACCAAAATAAATAAATAATAAAAACAAAACCAAAAACAAACAAAAAACCCTGTCTCAAATAAACAACAAATCAAAACAAAAAGATTTAAATTGTTTATCTGTCAGTGTGTGAGTGTGCACGAGTGCAGGTGTGCTTAAGAGGTCCAAAGAGAGCACTGGAGCTGGAGTTCCAGGATGCTGTGCGAGGCCAGCGAGGGTACCAAGAACTAAACTAGTCCTATGCGAGAGCAACAAGTGACTCTCGTTGCTTCACCACTGAGCCATTTCTCCAGTTCCACAGGATTTTCCTTAAAATCCCTACTTTATTTTATATTTGAGGGGGATGTCTTAGTTAGGGTTTCTATTGCTGTGAAGAGACACCATGATCATGGCAACTCTTAGAAAAGAAAAACGTTTAATTGGGGTGGCTTGCATTTCCAGAGGTTCAGCCCATTATCATCATGGTGCGACATGGTAGTGTGCAAGCAGACACGGTGCTGGAGATAGAGCTGAGCCCCACCCTTTGACTTGCAGGCAACAGGAAGTGGTCTGTCTCACTGGGAGCAGCTTGAGCATAATCCTCAAAGCCCACCTCCATAGTGACACACTTTCTTTCTCCAACAAAGCCACACTTCCTAATAGTGCCACTTGTTTTGGGGGCCATATTCTTTCAAACCACTGTAGGGGATATATGATAACACCTCCTCAATGCTTATTAGAATTAACCCAAGCATGCATGAGTATATTTGAGGCATGTTCCCGCAAACATGCAGTTCTTCTTTTCTTGAGGTCCCTCATTATAGATGTCTGCCTGTAATCTGTAGGGTCTCAGCTTAAATGTCCCAGAAAGGCCTGGGAATAAACTTTATTCATTCCATTAGTCTCATAAACACTTTCAGTTTCTTTCCTTTATAATTACAAGAATAATTTTGTGTATGTGTTTCTTGTGCTTTCTCATTGATTTTTTTTTAATTCTGGTTTATTTCCTCCTTTTGTTTGCCTTTTTGTTTTCAAAAGAGAGCGTTGGGTGGATGGGGAGGTGGAGACGATCTGGGAGGTGTTGAGTGAGGGGAACCGTGGTTAGAATATTTGACGTGAAAAGTTCTTTTCTTTTCTTTTCTTTTTTGGGTTTGTCGAGACAGGGTTTCTCTGTATTGTTTTTGGAGCCTGTCTTGGAACTCGAGGCTTGGTCTCGAACTCACAGAGAACTCACCTGCCTCTGCCTCCCGAGTGCTGGGATTAAAGGCATGGGCCACCACCGCCCGGTGAAAAGTTATTTTCAATAAAAATATATTTGAAAAAGCAACACTAAAAACAATGTGTATGGGTATGTTGCCTATATGTATATCTTTGTATCACTTGTCTGTGGAAGTCCCTGCAACTGGAATTACAAATGGTTCTGAGTTGCCAGGTGGGTGCTGGAAATAGAACCCAGGTCCTTCTAGGAGATCAGTCACTGCTCTTAACTCATCTCTCCTGGCCTGACTATTTTCTGTCATACTATAATTGCAAGTCTTCAAATATTTGTGTTCATTTTTGTTTGTTAAGTTTTGTTTTTTGTTTTTTGAGACAGGGTTTCTCTGTGTAGCTGTGGAGGCTGTCCTGCAACTCACTCGATAGACCAGGCTGGCCTTGAACTCACAGATATATGCCTGCCTCTGCCTCCCAAGTGCTAGAATCAAAGCTGTGCGCTGCCACTGCCTAGCTCATTTATTTAATTCTGTCTGTCCCTAAAAATGAAATTCAGATACATTCCAAATTAAGAAATCTTGTAATTTTGCTCACTTTTGTTTTCCTGGACTCTAGCACAGTACAAGTAGCAGGTGCCCCACAAATATTTGACTAATTCTTTGGTTGTTGCATTTACACTAATTTCTTCTATGGTATTTCAGTTTTTGTCATTGCACTGACACCCCCAAAACAGTAGGAGAAAATTACAATGCTCCCCTCCTCTATCTCTGAGTACTGAGATCGGCAATCCTGCTCATTACTGAGCTCAGGCTTCTCCTAAGAGGCTGTCAAGGATCCCAACGGTGCTTGGCAATTCTATTAGTAAGAGCGTGACTGAGGCAATCAAGAAATGCTTTTCAAATTACATTTGTAGGGTTCTTGAGCAGCTGAAATCGCAAACTGCTGCATAACAATTAGGTGAGAGCAGAACGTCGATGTTTTCTTTTTATATCATTTGCACGACAACGGATGCATCCTACTCGCTCCAGGAAGCTGAGCTCTTGCAGCAGCTCATCCGCCCAATGGGGGGCGGCAGCATCCCAATAATTCACTCCTTAAAGATATGGAGGTGGGAGGAGAGATTCGCGTTCAAAAGCTTTTTGACTCTACCCACTCTCCGTAGCGCCTTAGCCCGCTCGAGTTTCAATGCGCGTTGTTGCTGGACGAAGCTGAGTCCTATACAGCGCTCGCTGCTCTCCCGATCATGGCTTCTTCCAGTTCCTTCACCTACTATTGTCCTCCATCTTCCTCCCCTGTCTGGTCAGAACCGCTGTACAGTCTGAGACCTGAGCACGCGCGAGAGCGGTTGCAAGACGACTCAGTGGAAACAGTCACGTCCATAGAACAGGTGAGGTGGCAGGGCTGGGCGAGGCGCCCGCGCGGGGCCTTCTGGGAGCAGGAGTCCCGTTTGTAGGGCCGACTGGGTGTGAAACTCTCCTTGGAACTACAACTCCCACATTGCACTGCGCCCCCGCCCCCGAGCTCTAGGTGCCCAGACTGGGGCTTCCGAGTAGAGCGTTTGTGGGGCTGTCTTGGGTAGGCAAGGGTCGTTTTCATGATTGAGCTTGGGGGACAGGATAGTACCTCTCTCCTCTCCGCTTCAGAAGACTTAAAGAATCGTGTTCTGTGTCTGGAGCCCACAGCAGCCTGGGCGGACCAGGTAGCCTGCTCCATTCTGCCTAAACGCTTGGAGGTTCGGCGACCGACTGCTCACTTTCCCCCACATGCTCGCAGTTTCCGGACGTTTAGGGGACCGAACGGTCGGACTATGGTCATGCCATCCCCAAATCGGTTTAATGTCTGACCTGCTAGGTCAGATTGAGGCCTAGCTGGTTGTGGGTAATCATTTGAGCACCTGGTGTTGAACGCTGGAAATTCAAAAAAAAAAAAAAAAAAAAAGAAAGAAAAGAAAAGAAAAGAAAAGATCCCCTAGGGAGGAGCCTGGTCGGGAAAGACAGTCTGGAAAACTGTATAGTTTGGAAAGAACAAAAGAGTACGGAGTTTGAACTGCTTGTGATTCACTAAGGCCTAGGGTGTACTGGACATGCCATTCTGAAAAGTATTTAAGCTATGGGTAGTGAATTATAGTTTTCATTTTTCTCACTCGACATTTGGAGTTGTTTCCAAATGTAGAGCTGTTTACCCATCTGTTACTAGAAGTGGTCAGGATGAGTCTTGTCAGCGCTGAGGAACAGGCATCCAGCCGCTTACTAAAATAAGATCTTACTAGATCGGTACCCAGGCTTAACCAGGGAGGGACCTGCTTCGTCTTTCATACCTAAAGCTGGAGGCTCTGTTTAGGCAAAGTTAATGGCGATAGTGACTATACAAATTTTACAGTTGTGCTATGCACACATTGGTTTTTGTGTGTGTGAATGTGTATGGCAGGTTTGTGGGTACTGGTGCCAAGGCATACAATATGTGGGCTCTAAAGATCTAACTGAAGACGTCAGGCTTGCATAGCAAGCACCTTTACCCATGAGCCATCTTGCTTGTCCTGAATAAAATGCATAACAAGATAACTGATTGAACACATGGCCATTTGCATAGTAGCAGAGGAAATCTTTTAATCTTTGAGTTATTGTCTCATGGGCTGTAAGGTACTAAAGGAAACTTATAGCTCTCTGACTTAGTTAGCTGGTGTCCCACAGAAGTCTCCTGTAAACCATTGCAAAGAAATCTTTTACCAGTGACAAAAGCTACAGAATCTTTGTAGTGTTTAGAGGTATGTTTCTCTTGTTGACTAGATTATGGAATTATGGAGTTGGACCTGCCTCCTCTCTTAGCAGATGAGGGTGTGCAGGACACTAAGAAGAAACAGAGTTAGCCTGTCACTTAACAAGAACATCTGTGCTTAGGGACGTTATCAGGAGTTTTTCTGATCTGTTCTCTTTTTTGTGGGCTGCCATCTTCTTCAGTAGATTGCTGAAGTTCCTTCCTGCTCAACTCTTATGAGAAAAACAACTTAAGTTCTAAGTAGGCGTAATGGGGAATACGAAAATGAACACAGGGTGCTCTGAAAAGGGGCTGGCTGTGGTCTCAGGACCAGGATGCTGGGTCCTGATAGGTTAGTGTAGAGTGTCCGTCAGATACAGGCCCAATGGTATGACAGAGTCTTCAGTGCTATGTTATTACTCCGGCTCACATTTTAAAAGTCTAGGATGAAGAGTTGCACTTAATAGGAAGATAATGTAATACTTCATTCTTAAGGCTTCCGCTGCACTGTAGTAGTCACCACAGTGACCATTTGTTCCAGTGGAGTGCTCCACGTTCTCCGGGCATTGTGTGACTCAGTCCTTACACATTCTGAAGAGAAGGCAGAGGCTTAGAGAGCTGTCAGGTGCAGTCATCAGAGAGAAGGTTGCTGGGGGCGTTCTTACAGATGATGCTGTTTGATTCTTTTGGTTTTGACTGAAACATCCACAGGGATTTACTGCTAGTTCAATTTTGTGTGGTGGCAATAAAGATTAATGCTTGCCATTCTTTTCCTATCTTATTTTTGGGGAACTTTTATTTGTTAGACAAAGCTTAGTAACAGGAGTTAAACCTGTAAACAATGGAAAGTGCTTTTTCTTGTGAAGCCTTCTGTTCCATTCCTCATTTTCTTTCAGGAAATTCTTGAGGGCTAGAGAGATGGCTCAGTGGTTAAAAGCACTGGCTGCTCTTCCAGAGGGCCTACGTTGAATCCCCAGGACCCACAAGGTGACTTACAATGTCTAAAACTCCAGACCCAGGGCATCTGATGCCTATTGTGGCTTTCAGGGGCTCTGCATGCATGTGTTGCACAAAAAAAAAATCAAACAAAAACTAAAAAGGAAAATCTTTTAGGTGCTAGGTACTGTTCAAACAGTTAGCACTGGTCATTGAACAACAGAAATGGATTTGATGGGTATTTGTTTTTTGTTTTGTTTGTTTGTTTGTTTTTGTTTTTTGTTTCAAGACAGAGTTTCTCTTTGTAGCCCTGGATATACTGGAACTCATTCTGTAGACCAGGATGGCCCAAGACCAGGCTGGCTCTGAGATCTCCTGCCTCTGCCTCCCAAGTGCTGGGATCAAAGGTGTGCACCATCACTGTCTGGCTGGATTTGATGGTTTTGTTTTTTTAATTATTTAACTTTATTTTATGTACATTGGTGTGAGGGTGTCAGATCCTCTGGAACTGGAGTTACAGACAGTTGCGAGCTGCCATGTGGGTGCTGGGAACTGAACCTGGGTCCTCTGGAAGAACAGTCAGTGTTCTTAACCTCTGAGCCATCTCTTTAGCCTTGGACTTGATGTTTTTAAGGAAAATTTTGCTCCAGGCCAGGGATTCATTCAATTAAGAAAAGAAAAGCATGATCCCAGCGCTTGGGAGGCAGGGGCAGGTGGATCTCTGTGAGGTCCAGGTCAGCTTGGTCTACAGAGTGAGTTCCAGGACAGCTGGGACTACACAGAGAAACCCGTCTCGAAAAACCAAAAAATGAGAGAGAGAGAGAGAGAGAGAGAGAGAGAGGGAGGGAGGGAGGGAGGGAGGAGGAGGAGGAATGGGGGTGTAGACCAGTGGTAGAGCATGTACTTAGTGTGTACAAGGCTGGATCTATCACCAGTACCACACAGAAGGGGAGGGTAAAAAGAAATTGCTTAGAAATTTAAGAAAAAATAAGGCAAGGGTGTGCCAAGGGTAGCATGCTTGATCTGAGAGCTGAAGTATATGAGGGAGCAGGCCATGAGTGGGCCAGGTAGAAGAGTGTTCTGGGCAGAGAAAGCCTGGACCAAGGCCCTGAGGTAGGTGGAGTGTGCCAGGTGAGGAGGGGCCAGTAGACGGGAGCCTGGGAGATGAGATGGAATAGCGTGTAGCCTGTGGCTGTTGGGTTTGAAAGGTCTCATGGCAACGGGAAGCCATTTGGCTGGAGAGTTTGCACTTACCAGCCAGCCTCAGCAGAGTCCTTTCTACCTCGGTCTTAGAGTTGCTTCAGGAAGTAGATGTGTACCAACAGGCTCCCTAGCTTAGAGTGCTGGGTGTGAACCACGAAATACTGCCAGGAGACAGGAGTGAGGCATGGGGTCAGCGAGTGTCCTCCCTCCTGCAGTGCTGTGAGCTGGCTCCTCCCCAGACTTAAGGTCCTGTCTTCCAGGCCTCCTCCACAGAGGCCCCGGCTCTCTGCTCCTTCCTGTCCCACCATCAGACCTGTTAGCAGTCACACAATCTGAAAGATAATTTATCAGCGTCCTCAGGCTACTGTCAAGAGTCTTATGTGGGGAGCTTCAGGGTAGCTCAGAGGTTAAGAGTGCTCACTGGAGAGGTGGCTCAGCTGTTAGGACGCTTGCTGCCTTTCAGAGAGAGAGACTGGTTCCCAGCACACACACACAGGGTGGCTACAACCTTCTGGAACTCCCACTCCGGGGGTTATCTGAAGCCCCTGATCTCCAAGGGCACCTACACTCAGGTGCACGTACCCCATTCCCAGAATATATATATTTTCTGTTCGTCTGTTTTGTGTTTTCAAGACAGGGTTTCTCTGTGTAGCCCTGGCTGTCCTGAACTTGCCCTGTAGATAACAGGTTGGCCTCAAAGTCTTTTAAAAAATAGAGTATTATGTGGGGAAATGGTGGAGATAGGAGGCAATGGTTGGAGGCTATTGCGCTGTTCTGGGTGAGGGGTGACAGCGGCTTACAGAGTGGTTATCATGCTTGTGATAAGGTCAGTCTCTTGACAGTTTGTGAAAGTCTGTTGAGAAGTATTTTTTCCAGTGGATGCGATGCAAAGGGCCTTTTGTGAACAGGCAGCAAGGTGAGGTGGCGCTTTTAGTGTGCCACCTCGTCAGTGTCTGCCATCGAGTCACCCTATTGCAAACTGCAAATTAATATGGATAGTCTCATTGTCTCAGTGGTGCCCTTGCCAACACTTGTTTACAATACATACTTATTGCTGTTTTTTTTCTTCTAGTTTACTCTTTAAGAGAGACCAAAGCATCTTCCACTTAAAATGCCAGTGATGTCATTAGTCAGGAAGTTCTAAGGGGAGCATGAGACAGTATTAGTTAAATGTCAGATTTATGTAAATCCAAAGGGGGGTGGAGAGGTTGGGTATAGTGGTACATACCTGTAATTCCAGCACTTAGAGGATGAGACAGAGAGACCACAGTTAGCAAGCCAGTCTAAGCTACATAGCAAGACCCTGTCTATAAACAAATTAATGGATAAACATAAAAGGAAACCTGGGCTGAAAATATAGCTCAGTGTTAGTGTGCCAGCATTGTAAGGCCCTGGGTCCAACCCCCAGGTCTGCCAAAGAAAAAAGAGGTCTGCAGACTTTTCTGCTGAGATGAAATACATGTACTTTTAGACTTTCAGGTGTGTGGTAAACAAATCAAATGCCTGTTGAGAAAATTTATGTTTAAATTTAGGTCACTGTGGGCCTGGAATAAGTAGTAAAGTACTTCCTAGCATATGTGAGGCTCTAAATTCAACCCATAGCGCTACACATACAAATATAATAAATAACCATTATAATTCATACTTTATATAACACCAATTTAGAAAAGTCAACTCTTTTCTTATTCATGAGATGATTCTCTTAAAATTCTTCATGTGTCTTTTTATTAGCACCAGTTATCACACACACACACACACACACAGATGTATATGCTTTTCTAGATCATATGAGTAAGATAATTATCA